GATTTAAAACCACATACTGAAACGGCCTGGGTCGGATTAGAAAAAATCGGATTTGTCGCGTTCAGACTGTCAAAAAAATCGGATTTGGGTCGGATTTGCCTGCAGTGTGAACGTAGCCAATATCGTCTGGTTCTCCTGTTTCTACTGAACCTAAACTCTGATCTTTGAGGACTGCTGGGGGGTGGTCCTCACCCACGGTGCGGATGGTTCTGCAGTAAGCCAGGTTGTCTGTGATGACCTTTCCCAGCTCGGGGAAGTGCCAGCCGTACCACTCTCTGCAGCGCATGATGTAGTTATTCAGCTCCTTGTCCAGGTCGTCCAGAAGAGCTGAGGAGGAACGAAACATTTAGACACAATAACTCCTCCTCATCATCCATCTGAAATAAGACTGATCTGGACAGGTTTGTGTCTGACAAGATACTCACAGATGGCCTGTACAATCATGGTGTCCACTTTGTCAGGACTGAACTTGAGTTTGTAGCGGGACAAACTGGAACCAGATGAAATAAAATCTGTTAGCCGACAAATAAAAGTACCGTTTCTGATAAGAGACGATGTGAGTGAACTGCTGCCTCAGCGGTAGTGACGAATGCTGTGGGAAAATCTACACCATGTTTCAGACAGCAAAATGTAATCACAGGCAGCAGGAACACTGAGTCGTGTGTGTGTGTGTGTGTGTGTAACACCCACCTGTGGGCCAGACCAAGAGACATGGCACTCATCTCCCTGGGAGGAAGTCCAGAGATCAGGCTCTCCATTTGGCCTCTGATGCATCTCATCAGCTCAGCCACAGCTGGACTGTGGACGCAGGTCAGGTCCAGTTTGTCCTGAAAACAACAAACCTCCTTACAGAACTTTCTATTGAACGTACACGATGATGACGATGAGGAGGAAGAAGAAAACGTACTTTGATGACTCCACCAAGTTTGGCATCGCTGATGGCCAGCTGTTCATGAGCTTCTTTAGCCACAACTTTCTTCAGAACCTTTTTTAAACTCTTGCCCAGTTTCCCCTCCACCAGAGCAGTGGCAGCTTCACAGCAGAGACAAACAAGAAGCCGTTAACCAGGATCATCATACATGAACCGCACTTTAACCTCTGAAGACCCAAGGGGTTCTCTTCAAGTTTTTGCTCAAAATACTGAAATGTAACTRAGTGTATCTCAGCATTTATTAACTCTACTCAAATAAGCTTAGCATCAAAATAAAGATTAACACTTGGGAGATTTCATCGGAAGTAGGGGTCGACCGATACATCGGCCGGCCGATACGCTGTCCGTTCGGCCGATACGCTGTCCGTTCGGCCGATACGCTGTCCGTTCGGCCGATCCGTTCTTTGGGTCATGCGAGCGCATGTGTCCGCCCCTTCCCCCGGGGACAGCGCAGCAGCTGATGTTGTGAAACAGAGTGTTAACAACAACAAGAGTGAGTTATGAACTATAAATGTGTTTTAACTGTCTAATTTAGCTGTTTCTACCCTCTGTGTCAGAATATGAGGGAAGAGAGAACAGCTGTGTTTAAGTTTCTTTTCCAGACGGGAGCGCTGCGACATGTTTTACTTTCACACCGCACTGTAATCAGCGTGTCCGCGTTGTTTTTCTTTTTAAAAATGCTGGAGCTGCTCACATGTAGGCCTGTCACGATAACAAATTTTGCTGGGCGATTAATTGTCTCAAAATTT